TTTTTGAAAATCGAATACTTTTTTCTTTCTTAAGACCAAAGAATGATTTCAAGTATCAATAAATTACAAAAGTTTTTTTTTTTAGCGCAATTTTAACCGTACGTACACTTTCGATTTATCTTTATCTGCCAAACCGGAACGACAAATTAAACTGCAATCTGAGTTCACTGAACCCTGCAAAGATCAAATAGAAACCAAACCTCAAATGGTCGCATTAGGCTTAGCTAATATCGCTTTTCTTCAGACAATAAAAACCAAATGGCCCCAAGCCACGAACAAATCATGATCATTGATCAACCGAAAACCCAAGACCCCAAGCTCGCTCACAATTTAGATGCCTTATATGGCGGTTAGCCAAACGGCAGCCGCAAAAAAAAAAGAAAAAATAGATGAATAAATAAAGGCGACATTTTGTGGCAACTCTTAATATCACTACAGATATAAAAACCTATAGCTATTGCCATTGTTTTTGTTGTTCTCTGAAAAGTCGAACGAAAATGCCAGATCCAAGATCATATGGGCCGAAAAATGGAAGCAGAAAAGAGTCGTGTGCTAAACTTGCGCCAAATCAAGTGACGCAAGAGATAAAGTCAGGGGTAAATATATTTTGGGGGGTTTGGGGAAGGTCTAAACTTGATTTCGCCAGCTGCGCGTGGGCCACCGAAAAAAGATACAAAAACAAATGGGGAAAAATAACACTCAAGAGCTTGGAGAGATCGGTGATCTCGATTTCGTTCGAAATAGTTGATTTTTGCTTTTCTAGGCATTGCAAAAGTTGTTCATAAATACGAACAATGCAAAACAATATATTGCCGACTAACATAAACCCTGATTGCTTCGTTAATGAGAATAATCTCCAAAGACCTTCTCTTATGTACATACATATGTCTGCATTTGATTAATTCAATTTGCAGAGATCTTCAATGAAGATTTCTTTGGAAATAGTTGGGACAAGATTCAGAAGTTAAATAAATAGCATGAATGTGAAGCAATAAATCAAAGGCATTTAAGTTTGGTCATTGAAAGATTCTTTTTCCATAAACAAAGCCCGACAATTTGAAACAATAAATTAAAGCCATATAGCTGAATCTGGGCATTTTAACCAATTTGCATAACATCAAGATTTGCATGAAAATTATAGCTCTAGTACGCCAATTAGATTTGTAAATTGTTGTTTCTTTAATTAAAATGAATATGTTGGAAGGCTCACTGCATCTTAAGCAACATTTTATTAGCTGGAAAAGTTTTTCATAAATGCAAAAAATTAGAAACTATAAATTTAAAGCGCAGACTAAGATTTTGGTCATTCAAGGCGATTAGCATAATATCCAGATTTGCATGAAAATTAACGCATTTGAATGTTCAATCTGTCAAATGCTCTACGACTTTGGCTGTTTCTTTAATTAAGAATAATTTGTTGAATAACTTTTTGTGCCTGCATTTGACTAATTAAGTTTATGCAAATTGCGCGAGCGTAGGCGAAAGTTTTATGGTCGAAAGAAAACGCTGGACATATTTTATGACTTTTTAAGTCGCCGACAAATTGTAGATGGATTTTGTGGAAATACAAATTGAAACATTTAAGTGTTGCAACTAAAAATAAACATCTGTATAACTCATAAAACAAAGGCGGTCCCTTTTTCTTGTTTTCGTTTCTCCCCAGTGCACAGGAAATAATTCTTATATGTATATGCATTTCTGGAGTCAACAGATTAAAGAGATAAATAAACTTTAAAATAAAATTAAAAGCGAAATTAAAAAGCATTGCTTTTTAAATGAGAAACATAATTCTTAAATTTCAATCCTTAAATTCTGAGGGGACCTTGTCCAACTTTTTTCTGTGTGGAAATTACATGGAGTGCAACTGTTTCGGAAACAGAAGAAGAGAAGTGAAAACGAAGAAGAACAAGGAGCAAAACAGAGAAGAGTCGTTGAAATTAAATACGCTTTGTAACCAGAAATTCCGCAACTAAAAATAAACAAATAAGAAAACGAAGCGCGGAGCACGCGACGTACAAAAGAGGGTGAAATTGTACCCACAAAGAACTGAAATTAACAACAATTTAATATTCTTGGCCTCGCCAGCGATTTTTTATTGAGGAAATAGTGCAAATAGAATTGTGATTTTGCATATTTGCATAAATGGCGGCCACGGCGAGAATTGCAAAACGAAGAAATGCGATAAATAATGCAAAAACAACGATAGCAAAATTATCAGAGACCCCCACACACACACATTCAAACAGAACCTAAGGCAACAAAAGAAAATCAAGAGTCATTTGCTTTTGTTTTGTTTTGGATTTTTTGCCCCATCGCTACCTCTCTCACTCTTGCTCCGGATCGCAGTTGCATTTTGCGATCAACGGTTCTTTGGTTGGGGCATAACTCGTACTCGCTCGCACAGTCGCAGAAAGGCTCTGCGAAAACCAGTTATTAAAAGCCATAAAAAGGAGAACCGTTTAACTGTTTAAGGTGTCTTTTTCGCCAGGTGTTTAAAACATGGCCAGCTGTTGGCCAAAAGTATTTCCATACTTTTATGTTTTTGCATTTCTGCAAATTGTAATTGTTTTTCGGGGGTTGAGTTGCTTCTGCGCAAAGAGTGCGAGAAGGACGGCAGGACTCGAACTCACTTACACACCCTTAAAAATGCCGCTACTCCAAATGCAATTTCTTTTTTACGGTTGTATTTGCACTAAAATTGGCTTAGTTTAATCCGATTTTGTTCAAAATATTTACTATCTGTCAGTGTTTATGGTACTCCCACTCCACCCTTGTTAATTAGGTTTTTTTTAGTGTTTTCAACTCCGGCGCAGCTTCGTTTTACTCTCTATGTACAGCTTCCTGTTTTTTTTTATTAAATTTCTTTGCGCAAAAGGAGTGGCGTTGTCCAGGATTTTTTCACACATACACAAAGACTCCGTATACGTATAGTCGGCGTCTTTTTGCGATTGGCACTTTGTTCTTTTTTCCGGCACATTTAGGTTTTTAAAAACTCTATTTAACCCTCTTCTCTGGTATTTACCTTTTTAAAAGCTTGTTGTTTAGCCTTTTCGGTATACACAAATCCTTTCTAAAACATTCGCGACCCGCAAAGTCAAATCGTCCGCAATTTTCCACCGACGCGTCCGTAAAACTAAGAAACTCAACCGATTTTGAGAAACTTTAATATTCCCGGCACTTTTTGTTGATTATTTGCGCCCGAATTTGATATTTATTTTTTGCAACAACACAACCTTCCCGATTTGCGTCTTTCTACAAGATGGCAACACAGAGAGTGCTCGCGACTCGGCCGAAAAAGTTTGACTGGGAGTCTCTCAGAGAAACCACGGTGGAGTAAGTATAAGGTTGCTCGACGGATCCATCGGTCCATTATTGAGCACAGTGAGTGCGAGTGAAAGGTTGTGTTTTCCTAGTGAGAGCGAAAGAAACCGAAATAGACTGAATTGTTTAACCCTTATGCGATTCTTATGGCTAAAAATGCCCTTAGTCAATCACCCCACCATCGGTTATTGTCTGTGAATGTTAGTCAAACACGTCCGCTAGAGGCGCTTTTTCAACTTGGTTAACAGAGACTTTACATCGGACAACGTTTTCCCAAACGGTTAAACCGGTAATCCGGGGGAGCCACCCGTTAGTTAACGGACTGAACCGGAACAGCTGGGAGACTATCGGGCTTGCTGTTAGCTACACTGCAGCCAACTTAGCTAATTTCGCATTAAATTTGGCCATTTATTATAGTAAAAGTCGCAACTTACAAGAAAATTATCTCTAAAGCAATTAATTAAATTTTACTTTGCTGACCAAATAAGATAAGAATTAAATGATGTAATTTATTTTGTAACATCTCTCCCTACTCCCGATTATCGTTTTCGCAAAGCAATCCTTAATCCAGTGAAAGAACCCAAATCATTTATTTTTTTTGTATTTTTTTTTAATTTTGAGATTATATATATATAATAATTAGATTTACATTCATTTCTGTATCTTTTTACTTGTTTTATTTTAGAAATAAAGTAAGCATTTATTACTAGTTCTTTTATTCTTTTTTGTTTTTTAGATGTGCATTTTAGTGCACTTTTCTTTTCCGTTTTGCTTCGATGAACATTATTAAATACGGGGGCGTACAATCATTTTATAACACAAAAACAAACAATATTTTAAATATACTCCTTAATGAGACTTTTCTTGTGGAGGGTGTGGATGTGGTGTGTGTGGAAGAGGAGGATTGGATTGGGGGGCGAAATCACGCAAACAACACAAAGTAAGGCAGAGTTAGTGTTCCATTGGGGTTTTCGAAGAATTTCGAAAGGGTGTCGAAGGGTTCCGAAGGGCTCTATATGCAGTCGACATAGAGATATTGCAACGTGACCTCTTTAATATTGAAGCTAGTTAAACACAAAGGAAATGCACACAGTACAACAAGCGGAGATGGTCGTTAAATGGTTATCAATTTTAACATGCTACGATTTATAGAATTTTGGTTTAATTTCCCTCCTCGATTCGTTCATCCACTTTGTTTCATCATCATTCTCTTGGCTCTGTATAAAAGTTCAGTAAAAAATGCAGCTTAACTAGGTTCTCGTTTGTAATTCCCTCCGATTTCGTTATCAAGGTAGCTCTCCTCGCAAACGGTTGGTGCGTCTCCATATTTCCATTTCCATTTCCATTGGATATCCTCAATTGTTGCAAGCTTGCTGGTTGCTGGATTGCTGGATTTGTGTTGCTTTCGGCTTTATTTTACATTAATCAATTATTTACTTGTTTATCACTTAGTTTTTACAATGGCGTTTTATGTGGGTTTTGTTTGCTTCGCTTTCGCTTCGATTTCCATTTTCATTTCCATTATCATTTTCATTTTCAGTTTCGTTTCCATTTCCATAAAATGAGCGCGCAGACAATAATTTATGTATAAACTCCACCGCTCTCTCCACTAACATTTAATCATCGGAAACGCACAAATAAATTCTATTTGATAATATCAAGAACAAAAACTAACTGCATATATCTTCTTCTATATATATTTATCGTATATAGATACGACGTTCTTCTGCTTTGTGTAGAAAATTCGATACATTTTTGTGGCGTTGCTGCGCTGCTGGTTTTCAACTTAAGTTTAACTTGTAAGCGAAATCAAACACAATCGTGAACCGACATTTCAAATGAATCTGAATCTGAATCCGAATCCAAATCGGTGCTGGTGTTCGGTTATGTAACGTCAATATACATACATCGAAAGGATGGAGGATACGAATTGCTTAATTGCGGCTGCTTTCTGTTTTCTGACCAGATCTGACAAAAAACCTCGACGAGTGAGCTTGAAATGTTCGTCTCTAAATATTAAGTAGATTATTTATATATATATAGGCTCGCGTTGATCGAGTTCTCCTTAGCACATTTACTAATTGAAACGTTGTCGTGGTGAATTTCATAAGCACAATTTCATGATCATGGGTTTTTCTTGTTTGTTGGTGTGTTCTTCAGTGTTCTTGTTGTTGTTGCTGTTGTTGTTGTTGTTGTGGTGTGTTGTGTGTCGGTTTAGGATATCTCACTTAATCGTTATGCACTCTTCATCACTTAAATCAGCTAATTATCTTTTATGTGTTCGCTTTAGATACTTTCTTTTTCGTTTTGCTTGTGTGGTAAAATAAGAAGAAAATGTTTATGGGTTGTTGTTGTTTTGCTTTCATTGCCGGTTGAGCAAATCGATCGCTGGGGCGTCGATCGAGGATCTTCGAATCGGATTACCAATTGGCCATGCCCGGCTTGTTGAGCGTCATAAAGTAGATTTGACACGATGAAGCACCTTTGGCACTGCTGAAGAATACTTTGTCGTTGCGCTCGCAAAGGAATTTCAAGCGCTGCGCCTTTTTGTGCATGAACACACCATCCAAATGGCCGCTCTCAACGGAACGTATCTGTTAAATGGGAAAATCAGTTATTGCAATCCAAATTAATATACCCAATTCACTCACCTCTATTGCTTTATTGCCCCAGCCCATGATTTGTCCTGTGCCAATGTAGGCCACCGAGGTGGGCATCTCGCCCCACTAAAAGGAAGGAAAAGTGCATTAAAACACTGCATACAAAGCAGGCGAGGGGCAACAACTTGCCTGCAGCACAATGTTCTTGGAAACGCGGCCCACAGTGTTCACGTAGACGCCCTCGTTGTCGTAGCACAGCAGCAGTTGCATCCCATTTGAGTTCGGAAGCGCCACAATACAATGCGGAATGATTGCACCCTGAGTCTGCGGAAATTACACGGTTAATAATTAACTAATCAATTGCAATAACATCAACTATTGTTACTTACATGCTTGGGAAGAAATATGTCGTATACTTCAGCTGAATCCAGATCAACCGCATGGAATCCCTCGGCGGAGCCATAGATCACCTTCAGTCTGGACTGATCCTCAATGGTGAGATCGACCAAAAGCGGGCGATGTTCCAGTTCACCAAAATTCTACAAAATGTATTGAAAGTATTTAAAAGTTTCTGTGTTATATCATATTATAGGTACACACCTTAAATGCCATAAATTTGTGATATGGTTTGGGAGCCCATGCATAAATTTCAATAGAGTCTTTTAATGCAATCACTAGGAACTTAATCCTCTCGTATTTGACAATCTTAAAATGTACAGCACCTTGTAGATCACCCACGTTAATCCAACCGTTCCGACGCTCCACTTGCTAAAGGGGGATATTTAAAATTAGAATTAGAATTTGAAGGGGAACTGAGTAAATGCTAGAACTCACATCGGAGAGCCCATCGGTGCGTAAGATCTTGGACTTGAGCCAGGACAAGTAGTAGACGCGCACGCGGTTCTTCTTGCCGGATATGGTGACCAATATGTTCTGACCCTCTAGCACCTCCATTTGCTGGAAGCGGCGTCGCGAGATGAGCTGGTAGACCTGTGGAGGGAAGCGGAAGGGTTAGAGGGAATCCCTTTCTTTACGAGCAACCACTCACCTTGCCCTGGCCAGATCGGTCCAGTAGCATCAGGCCGTTCTCCGTGCCGATGAGCAGGTTGACGCCCCAGAGCGCCGCGCAGAGGATCTCCGAGTTGAAGCGCTTCTTATACTTACGGATCTCGGGCGTGTCGTTGGCCGCCTCGTGGGAGGTGGGCGTCACGTTGACGTTCACGTGCGACTCCCGGCGCGAGGGACCAGAGCCGCCGGCCCCGAAGCCGAAGGTCAGGAAGCTGCGCTGCTTCTGTTGCAGGGCGTACGCGTGCGGGGGCAGCGGGTTGGAGATCGAGGCCGAGGACGTCGACGAGCAGGGCGTCAGGTGGTGCAGGTTCGCAGAGGAGGAAGAAGCAGATTTGTGCAAGAGATTAGTAATACTGCTGGAGGAGCGCGTCTTGCTGATCGAATTCTTCGGCGAATTCTGGCGCGAGTTCGAGGACGAGGAGGCGAGCGATATCGTCGACTGCGGCGAGTGGTTGCTGCTGATAACCACCCCGCCCACAACGGTACCGCCCCCCAAACCGAGTCCGCCTCCGCCGCCGCCGCTTCCGCCGCTGGCGATAAACGATTTCGATGGCGTGGAATGCACGGATGAGCTGATGGCCGCTTGATACTGGTTAATCGATAATTCGCGATTCGTTCGATTATTTCGATTGTTTGAGTTTTGCGTTTATTTTATCGGTATAGGTGGTTTATTATTGTTTATTGTGGTTTTGTTTTCATATTGTTTTTTATCGACACATTTCGAGTTTACATTGGGTTTTATTCGGGGTTTTCATGGTTTTATTTTTTAGAAAGAAAAGAAAAATAGAAAAAGTGCAAGAAAAATTTAAATTAGTCTTGAGATGTCAACTTAAAATAAATAAATTATATGTTACACATGCGGGGTTCGGGTGTGTGTTCGGGTTTACTTGGGTAGAGAGCATTACAGAGGTGTTTTGTGTGTGTTTGGGTATATAAAGTGCAGTATGCTTTACAAGTGAGAATATAGCCAAAACTCTTACAAAGTTAACAGTGGTGAAAGTATGTGAAAGTGTGTTAAGATAAACAAAAACAAATATAAAAGCCGATATGTGATTTAGTCTTTCCCCAGAGGCCAATTTGAAAAATAATTAATATGATTTGTATGTGTATCGATAATATTTTTAAAGGTTTTTCCAGTGTATGTTCTGTGTATAGTATGTAAGTGATTTTTAGACCCATTGTTGAAGTGTTAGTGACAGGAGACTCGTCTGCTTTTAAAGGCGGAATTTCGGGAAAGTTCCACAAATCAAAAATATAAAGTCTTAATCTGATGTTTTATATATTTTATGTACAGAGAGAAACTGAAAGGCATTCCTAGTGCTGGGCAAAAGGAATACAGAGAATGTGTGAAAATTATCTTCTAGATTTCCATATCCTTTGAAGGAAAAAAGCTATACACATACAACATTTATATGGCACATTGTGAAATGTGATGAGAAATCATAAGGTGGAGAAAAATAAAACTATACACAAAAATATTTTCTTGTTTTGGAAGTTGTCGGGATTTTTCGATTTATAAGAGAGCAAATTATACAAAATAAAGAGCATTTTGTCGGTGTTTTGTCGGGTACCATTCGTTCATACTTACTATTGTAACTTTTGTTTGTTTGTTTTTGATTGGTAATTTGTAATTGGTTAGAATATATCGTAGTGGCCATCAGCTCAAACGTTGCGGAAAGACAAAGCACAATTAAGAAGAAGAAATTGGTTTAAACTTTTCGGTTCTGTACTTTTGTTGATGTGGTAAATCATTTTACGAAGTCATGCACTTGGTGATAGCTTCATACGGGCATGCAAATTACTTTGTATTCTCAAATTTTGTCGACCAATTCATTGTTCTACACTCTTCATAATGAACTTTGCTCCACGTCAAAGAAAATGTTTATACCTTAAGGATTAGTCACATATGTGTTTGGGGTTAGGGCTCAAAATGGCAAAATAAATAATTAAGTTTAACAAAATTCAAAAATAAAAACTAAATCAAAAAAATTAGAACTAAGCATCTTTATCATTTTACTATTTAACTGTCTGTTTAAACTTGTTTTTAGAAATGGAAAAATTGTCTTCAGGTTAGTAAATTATGAACCACTGTATTGAAGTGTTCGAATGAACTCTATGATAAATATACCTCGAGGTGGAATTGTAAAATTAATGACTGGTAATGATTTATTTTTATGATTCTGTTGTCAAACCGGAAGAACTGCAAGTTTTTCAGCCATGAATCCTAACAAAGATAATGCGAATGAATCGGCCTGAAGGAGAGACAGGGCGATACGACCGAATATATAGTATTATCACAATAAATAAACTCAACGTGGACACAAGGGTTACGAACGAAAACACAATGAAAAATCGATTAAACGAAAAACACAAGAGGACGGACGAAGTGGAGTATCCGTATTTATTGGGCGAGTTACTCACCTCCTCACTGGATGATTTATCATGGCGTGGTGGCGTTGCCGGCGACGCCTGGCTGAGCAGGTCCGGCAGGACACTGCTGGTCCTCGTCCCCGGAGTTCCCAGTCCGGTGCCATCGGCGCCTCCGCCGCTGCTCCCGCCGCCTCCTCCGCCGCCGCCTCCTCGGTTCTGTGTGGAAACATATCGGAGTTCAGAGTTAGCATATCGAATAAGTATATACATAAGTGGTTCCGGGACACAAACATTAGAGAGACGGGTATCATGGGGTTATAGAATGTCGGGGAAAGTTGGAGGAACAGAAGTAACAGCGAATGAGTCACGAACGTACGCAAGATTCGAGATTCTAGTTTCGAGATTCAAGATTCAAGAGCAGCAGCACAAATAAATGAATGCCAATGAGACACTTGAGGCTGCCCAAACGATGACCCTCCACTAATATAGTAAGCCTCGCAAATGGATAATAGATAAGAGATAAGGGTGTAGGTAAAAAGGTGGAGAGTGGGTGCTGGGTGTGTGTGTATCCTGGTTTACAGAGCTTACAGACTATCACATTCAGGCATGGGGCATCCTCTGCGCTCTGCGCTCCTCAAAATTGTTTTAAAGCTTAACTTAAACACTTAAACTAAATTAGCAACATTTCAATTTCAGCGCAGCAGGCAGAACGTGGCTCAAGTTGCAAAAACAATCACTCAGGTGGGGGGGCGGCGCATTAATTATGTTTCTCGATTAACTCTCCATTTGCCTCCATTTACCCAGCCGGCAAACTTTCTTAATTGATTTCGAGTTTGTCTTGAACGGAGGAAAGCTTTAAAACAATTTTGAGCGAAAGCAGTAGAGGTTACAGATGATACAGAGCATTCTAATTTACAGAGTTTAGATTACATGAGGCAGCAGGATGTTGTAGTAGCTTTTTAAGATGTGAGAAATAGGTTTCTAGATCAATTTACACTCTCATTATTCAAACTGAATGAAAAGGTGATTATTTCGAGAAGGAAATATATCTCAAATAGCTATAACCTTTACTTGTACAACTAATTTAACTGATTTGGAGTTGGTTTTACTGCTTTTAAACGATCTCTGGGCTGCCTCAAATACCAGAATCCAATCAAAAAGTTTATCGACACCGCATTATTGACGATTATAAAACAGGAAGTTTAGGAAGGCTTCAACCTGCACTACGGGTATTAACTCGATCTCATTAGCATTCGGTACTTTTGCCTCTTTTTCGGGGTTATTTTCGAGATTAGATTACCGATTCTCGACCTTCTACCGGTTATTTGCATTTGTTAATCGAGTTCTTAGCGCATTAGAGTCTTAACTACGGTTGCGGTTAGCTTAGGTCCTAAATGGCGTGGGCTCTGATTGATTAGAGAAAATATCATACACAAATCAAATGAGAATGCAATAGTAACTGAGGATAAGAACCAATAAAACCAAACATGCTCAAGCAGTGAAAGGATAAATGCACATTGATTAGGTTTCCCCCTCAGATGATTCGACAATTCCAGCTGGTTTTCGATTAGCAACAATGGGTGTGTGTTGTTTTAATTTATTTACGAGCTATTAGCTATTAGTTTGGAGTGCGTGTGTGTGTGTGTGGATGTGTGTGTGGTGAGTATGGAAGCAGCGAGCCAAATGGTAAATTTCAGCCCTCTTTTTTGGTAGTTCGGGTTGGTTTACGTTTCTGGCGCCAAGACAAAACACAATTTAATGGGGTAAATATTTTGCAATGTTTTTTCTTTTTTTGTTGGTGAGTTATGTTCGCAGCGCTTCTCGAATAATGTTTGCCTCTCTGTTGTTGACTTGCTTGCTTTTGTTTTGTGCGAGCTGAGAACGTTTACCTGCTGCTGCTGCAGTTGCTGTTGCTGCTGCTGCTGTTGCTGCTGCTGCTGCTGTTGCAGTTGCAGTTGCTGCTGCCTCTGGGCGCGGACCGCCGCATTCTGCAGCACAATGACGGATTCAGTCTTTTCGCGACGCGGTCGCAGGAAGTTGAAGTTGGCCAGGGACTTGGAAGCCTTCGGAGCAGCTCCTTTCGGGGCGGCAGTGGTGTTGGTGGTGGTGGTGGACTGGGCAGCAGCCGCTCCTCCTGGCTTGGCAGTGGTTCCAGCTGAGGCTGCAGGTGCTCCTGCTCCTGATTCCTTGCCTTTGCTGGCGATGCTGCTGTTGTAAATGCTGTTCCTCTGGTACACGGCACTCGCTCTCTGCACCTGGCCGGCGAACGCCGGGGAGATGGCCACCGATCCGCCGCTCAGCACCGCCGAGTGCCGCTTGGTCAGCGGGAAGAAGTCCGAGTTCTCGCGGCGGAAGGCTCGCTCGAAGTTCGTCGGCAGGCGGGAGTCCGAATCCTGGCGCTTGTGCGCCGTTGAGTTGGAGCTACTGCTTCCCGATCCAGATCCAGATCTCGATCCCGATGCAGAGGCAGATGCGGATTTGGAGGATCCCTGTTCTTTGGCAATACTTTGGCTGGCACTCGGCTCGCCCTTCAGCGGCTGATAGCCACGGGGAACGGGTCTCGCGATGGCCTCCGCCACACTGGCCCGCTGCAGCTTCGTCTCCACCTTCAAGGTGCTCAGCTGGGAGCTCCTGCTCAGACTGGCCGTCGTGGTGGGGCTTCCCCTGCCACTGCCCCGCGGACCGTTCCCGCTCCCGCTCCCGTTCCCGTTTCCGTTCCTGGGGAAGAAGCGATCGAAGTCCCAGTCCTTCAGCAGGTTGGATTCGTCGACGCGGCGCGAAGGAGTCACGTTGGCCTGCGAGGTCGAGGCCGACTTTTGCAGGCGGTTTATGTTCTGCTCTAGTTTCTATTGGGGATTGATTCGGTTGGGTTTCGGTTTCGATTTCAGATTCAGATTCAGATTCAGATTCAGATTCGGGGAAGTTGTTGGGTAGTTGTTGTTGTTGTTGTGGTGAGTACGCAGCAAGAGAAGAATGGTGTTAAGTTTGCTTTTGTTTGCTTTTGAATACTTAGAGGCTTCTAAATATCGATTAAAGAGAGCTTGGATCGCCCCACCCACCACAGCATGGAAAGTTTTTCATGAATTCTGCTCTTCGCTCCAGCAGGTTGCCGTTTTTCACGAGGCATCCAACTCACATACACCTACGCTCCTGCTTAAATCAATACGAGGTGATACCAGGTGACTGATTCCAGCAAAAGAACGCCAGGAATATGGAGCAGTAGCCCATCGAAAGATATTTATATGGGATATATGTGTGTGCAGGTGTGCATATAGTCATGTATGTACAATTCTCAATCGTGTCAACATTCTATGCACCAGTGCATTTATGCTTATACGAGTATATAGTATAGATGCAACATCACACATGGCTCAATCAAAATACGAGTCGGTAAATACAAAAGTCGGTAACGAAAATTTTGAAAAGTAATTTGTACAAGGAAAGAAAAATTCACGAAAAAGATTTCACACTGTTTACGCCATTAAGTTACTATAAAAAATATATATGTATCAAATCAAGATTAATATAAATCAAGTAAATTTAGTAGGAAAGTAAAATAATATTTAGGCTAATCTTAACTCGATCAATTTGGAGGCCCACAACCAGGTTGAACTTAGTCTACATTACTCTGCGTTCGATTTAGTTTGATCTTTGATCTTTGGGTTGATTAATCAATTTCAGGTTCAGTTGGTAGTTGTAGTTGGCAGGCCTTTAACCCTGGAAGCTAGTTTACAGTTTGTACAATGGCCACCGACTCCTCCGGCTGGCTCTTCCCTGACTCGCTAGTGGATCTAATGCTTCTAAATGCATCTCATCGGAGACTAAGAGCTAATCTACTCAAAAGATTCGTACTCGAACGCAAGGATGCGGAGGTGGGATCGGAGGTGGGTGCTACTTACGCGCTTCATGATCAGGGTGCGATCTCCTGCCTGGTCGTCGTCGTCCGGCGTCGGAGGCAGTGGCCGGTTGGGCGGCCCTCCGCTGCCATGGCTGCTCAGGGGCGTGGTCGTGTTGGCGTCCTCCGAAACGGGTCCCAAGCCAGGCCTATACGAGAATTCGGGTCTGAACATAACGGAAACCAAAAAGCCAAAACCAAACAAATCCAAAACGAAAAGGGGCGGCAATTGTTGTCGACAATGCAAATGAAATGGGAGTGGGATTCGGTGTTGTGGGTGGTGGGTGGGTGGTTGGTTGGGTAATTAATGGAGTGTTTAAATAAGTGAGAGACAAGAATGTAGTGAAGTCGGGTTAGTATTCAGCGAGAGAGAGAGATGATGTGTTCCTTACGATCAGGGACCGCATAACAGCAATCAAAAATAAAGGATATTGCATAACATAATATCATATATATTATATCATGGAAGATCCTTTACAGGAACTGCCAATCTTAAAATGCTTCAAATAGCATCTCAAAAATTATTTACCATCTGATTACCCTTTTCAGGGATTACCAATCTTAGAATGATTTAAATAGCATCTTAAAAATGATTTATATTCTGATTGCGGTCCCTGTCATTAATGTTCGTTTTGTGAGCTTCGATGCATCTTCGATTTGTGGAATTTTGCTGCACTCTGCCACGCCCCCTCTTCTAGGACTAGTACTTACAGCGGCTTGGGCGGATCGCTGGCCAGGAGGGTTCCGTCGTTCCTGGCGCGGTCGTTGGGCTCGTCGGGCTCGCTGTCGGAGTCGCTGCTGTCCAAGGGGTCGAGCGGGTTCACCGGCTGTCCCAGGTGGTTGTTCGCCTGCTGCGGCAGAGCGGCCGCCGGCTTCGACGAGCCCGATCCGGATCCGGCTATGCCGCCGGACGCCGATCCGCCGGAGGAGGAGAGACCGCTCGACTGGCGGTTGTTGCGCGGCGGCGCCTCCGGCTGCGCCTGCTGCTGGGATCCCTGGCCACCGGCGGCTGTTTGGGGCTGTGGCTGTTGGGAGAAGACCACGCCCAGTTCACTTAATTGTGCTGCTAACACATCCAAATGATCCTACAGTTTACAATACAGTTTTCGTTTTTTCGGGGCGGGAGGATTTGTGTGTGTGTGTGTAGTTTTGGTGTGTGTTGGGTGTGTGTTTTTGGTGTGTGTTGAATTGCACAGATACCACGGTTTTCAGGTTTCGGTTTCAGTTTCAGTTTCGGTTTCGAGGAGGAATGGGAACGAGAAGTAAGAGAGCATTAGATGGTGTTCCTCCGATTCTTATAGATTCTTATAGATAAAACAAACACGATCTCAAACACGCCAGGCCAGAAATACGTATACGTAGTGTCACATGTCTCTCAATCCAGCAGAGCATTATTGCACAGGAAGTGTTAGAAGAGTTAGGAAGCAGCTCGGTGGTTAGTCTTTATCTACGAGAGCAGGGTGTACAGTGCCATTTGGAATTCAGGCACCTTACCCTGCTCGAAACGTCGTTAGAAACGCATCAATCACACGGGAAACTCTAAGCTCTATGGTGGGTATCAATCTACTTAGGCGGTTAGTCAATCGGTTGGGTTACGAAGTTACGGATCTTCGGGCTTTGGAAGCTTAGTTCGAAGGTGGCACGTGCAAAAGGTGTTGCTTGGTTTCGGGGTTCGAGAGTTACGAGCGGGTTGTGTGTACCTCCGTTTCAGTAATTTCGACAAAGGTCCAAAAGGGGGATTCTTAGGGGCTACACAAATGGAGAGCAATCGATGTGGAGTGCGTTGCAGAACATTTGAGGGGTAAACAGATCTACTAAATCAGATCTTCTTGTATTAATTGAATCCTCTGTTCGGAAACGCACTCTGTGTTTTAGTGTATGCAAACTTTAAAATGGAACTCAAGCAGCAAACGAAACGGAAAAGATGCGACAGGCTTCGAAATCAAAATCGTAGGACATACCTCAGGTCTCCTTGGTGGTAACTATTGTTGTTGTTGTTGTTGTTGTTGTTGTAATCATGATTGTTGTGTTTTATAGATCGAGTGTGTGTTGTGTTCGAAAATCATACGTTGGTTGGTTTAACGGCGCAACGGGATGATGTACACATGAGTCAAATCATAATTCGATATTACGCATACATACGGGTTATCAATGCATATTGGTATACGGTATATATATATAGTATTGTTTATTGGTTATGTAGGCGCACAAAACATGAAAATAAAAGAGATATAAATTAGGATAAGATATACGATATGGCATGGAATCGACTTTTACAGTGGGCAAGTATAAATTCTAACTACTTCGAGAACGGGGACTACAAATTACTGGCATAAAATAGCACCACCACAAGGCGGTGCGAGCAACTCAATCCACCGACTGGAAGTCATTGCTCCAGAGACCTCCCATGAGATCGGATTCCCCGATTCGCCCTATCAGCCCTGCCCTCTCGCTGCTAATCTCCGCCCGATACGCACCGATGGCTTGAAGTTATTCTGCGAGTTGCGCTGCTGCTGCTGCGGCGTCTGGCCCGCCGGCTCCCCGCACTTGGGGGTCGGAGGCAATGGCCGATTGGCGTGCGGCGGATCCGGCACCACGATCAGTCGCTGCGGAGGGCGTGCCGGCGGACCCGGCTCCTCAACCTGCTGGCGCTGTAGGAAAGAGGGAGAGCATTGGATTAATAATGGGGATAATAAAATGCTTGTAAATACAGCAACATATAAGTCGTTCTCATGATAAAAGCATAATTAGGTGGATAAATTAGATTAGGTAGTAGATTAATATTAAGAAAAACTTCTTCGGATTATAGCTTTGCAGAAAAAGATAATAACTGGAGGAGATGGACTTTTCAGATACAAATGCTCTCTACCTATAATTGATTTACAGATATTTATAACTAAGTATCCTACCGATGGCGGTTTGGGCTGCCGGTTGGCCTGCGGCTGCTGGGCCTGCGCCTGCTGCTGGGCGGCCTGCTGGGCATGCTGGGCCTGCTGCGCCGCGTGGGCCGCCGCCGCCGCCGCCGCGGCCTGCTGCTGCTGCTGCTGGAGCTGGGCCTGCGCCTGGGCGGCGGCGTGGGCGGCGGCCGCCTGGGCCTGCGCCTGGGCCATCAGGTGGTGCTGCTGCTGCTGCTGCTCGGCGGCCAGGCGGCCCTCCTGGATCTGCTGGAAGTTGCGGCGGAGAGTGTCGCCGCCAGGGGCCTGGACAATGGAGCTGTGCTCCCCGGCCAGCTGCGGCTCGTCGTCGTCGTTGTCGGAGCCCGAGTAGCGGTAGTCCTCGCGCTCCTTCTCCTGCTTGCGCTTCTTGCAGCGGTCGATGTGGTCCTTCAGCTGGATGCGCACCTGGCGATCTGTGGGCTGGTCCTTGATGAACGCGTGCTTCAGCAGGTTCTCGGTGTAAGGCCGCTGGTGGTAGTCCTTGACTATTTATATTTAATAGCGACATTAATACAGATGAGTAAGATGAGTGAAGCACAGGTGGATGACTCACCTAGCACCGTGTCAATGAAGCCGTGGAACTTCTTGGACCACTTCTTCGATTTGAGCCGCGGCGGCGAGTTGCGCGGAATGAGGAAGAGGGCGCGCATGGGATGGAGATCGCAGAGCGGGGGCTGTGACTCAGCCATCTCGAGGGCGGTGATGCCCAGCGACCACAGATCGGAGCGATTGTCGTACGTGGCGTCGGGATTCTCGTCGCAGGCAATGACCTCGGGGGCCATCCAGTAGGGAGTACCTGTGCGGAGGAGGAGGAGCAACAGGAGACGGAGCATGAGAAACAAGGAAAGCCAGTTTGGCAGGTAGGATCGAGCGATCGATCGATGACTCACCGATGAATGTGTTGCGCCGGCCTATCGTGCGATCCAGCTGGGCGGAGACACCAAAGTCCACCAATTTGACTTCAGCGTTATCCGTGAGGAGGACGTTCTGGCCCTTGATGTCGCGGTGGATGACCTTGTTCGAGTGCAGGTAGCTCAGGCCCCGCAGGATCTCGCGGCAGATGTAGGCGATCCACTCCTCCTTGAGGCTCTGGCCCTTCGTCGACTTGACCAGGTCCGTCACCGAGCCGGCGCCGCAGTACTCCATCACCAGCCAGAGCTGGTCGTCCTTCCCCGGCGGCGACTTCTTGATGAACGCCCCGTAGTAGGTGGCGATGTTGCGGTGATTCGAGTACTTCTTCAGCACGTTGATCTCCAGCTTGATCTCCTCCTCCTCGTCCTCGGTGACGTCCATCACCTTTATGGCAGCCAGTTGACCAGTCTTCGTGTGGCGGCCCTGCAGAGCGAAAGGGGGAATAATCGGTGAGTAAACTCTACTAAGGTTTCCCAACAATGTTTTAATAAGTATTGAATGTGTTTATATTCTTTTTCTCTATATTTCCTCTTGATTAAATCATTTAAAGAATGTTATTTTCGTTGTTATTCCATATTCGTCTTTAAAAACATTTATTAATATAGTTAATCGTACAGAATGAAGGAATCCAAGTGACGAATGTACTTATGTTCTTATCTTCCACTTTTTAAAACGAATTATCTGGGTGAGACATTTTTAGTTTTGTTGAGGCGAAAGCAGACTTTAAGTATTTTATAAAAGTATTACAAAGTTATGGAGATTATATTACCCACTAAAAGGGTATGAAAAGAGATGCGAAAATCGTATCTATGAGTTCAAAAGGGTGGCCTTTAGACGAGGAGCCTAACCGATTTGGACTTGAGCATTGGCAGTGATCGAGGTCAGGCCGGGGTTGGCCATTCCAGAGCTCGGTTCATTACGGCTCTGTGGCTGTGTTTGTGGGATGCACTCCAGCCCCCCTTTTCCATTATGCTCTCGACGGAAACAAGACGATGACGATGACGCTAACGACGACCATGAAGGCGTTGGCTAGTGCAGCGGCGTATATTCTATATATTTTATAGAGTCTGCGGGCCCGCCTGCTCTGCCCCCGCCTGGCATCAACAAACTGCGACGCATAAAAAGTGATTAAGTAAACAAAAGCAGCCGCAACAGCAACAGCAAAAGCATCATCGGCATCGGCATCGACTCCAATGGAATCAAACAATAGAACGCAACGAGTTGGGGAGTACCAAGTAGTAGGAGGGCAGAGAACTCTGTCTGGAGAGGAGCATCAACCTCGAGTGGGGTAATGTGTCTGCTCAATCAGAGTGTCAAGTAGTTAAGGTAAACATGCCGCAAATATCTATTCAAGAGCGCCACGAAGGTGACTAATTCAAGGCCTGAAAGGGGCTGACTTAAAAGGGACTTACTATATACTCGTAGTAAAAGGTCTCACTGAGGAAAACTTGTCGATGTGTGACATCTTATTAGGGAACTGTTTTGTTTCGGAGCAAAAAGTACTGCTCGATAAAGATATTCTTAGAACTAAGAGTATGGACAATAAACATTTTGAGTGAAATACTGCCAGATAAACATTGGCTTAGTTTGGATTGAACAGTTTACATTTTAGATTGTGAACTTCTCTTCTCTTTTAGAGTTCCCCATTTCTCCTGAAATAAAACGTTTTTAATTAAGAGTTCTTGGCTCTAATTTGTGGCAGCCCTCTTGCCCAATGCAAACTTCTTGACGAGCGCTGCCAGAGCTCCAATTACTTGCCCAAAGTTTCCAGTCACGTTGCATCTTTGGCGTTTAGAGCTGGTGTTCGGCCCAGCCCAACTAGTTTCAATTAGCCTGCCACTTTAATCAAACCCGCAAATTGTTTTTTATTCCTCACCCCACCCCACCCCCTCTTCCGACCAAGATTGAGTTGTCCTGACCAACCGGTTCCCAGTTCCCAGTTCCCGGGTTAAAAAGTGCTTCAGCATCTCCGTTGCGGCTGTCGTGTCGCCTAAGCCGCTTTTAAAGTCATTTTACATTTAATACAGTTTTAATTGAGTGAGCAGGAGCATCCATCGGACGGCAGCAGCCGCAGCCCCATCCATAAATCAAAATGCTAACCGGGAGATGATAACAGTTTAAGTGACGATAGTCATCCGATGACGATGATGCCATGAAAAGTTGCCCGTCGGCTCCTCTACGAGTTGTCCTCTTTAAGAGGGAGATTGTGGTTCTGTGTGGGTTTCTGGTTTGCAAGCAGCAGGGGAAAGCACTTTGCAAACTCTATCCTTTCGGTGATCGATATCTGCAATATGTTTGACTCAGTTTGATGGCTGTATTCCAAACTGAGCCGTGATCTTGGTAATTTGAGGTTTGAAATATACCTCTTATCAGTTCAAAGTAAATACAGATTTTTAAATTTAAAATATGATTTTGAAAATAAGCTTTTAAAGCAACGTTATTACTGCATATTCATAGAGTATTCCACAACTCATCCTGCAAAACCTGCAATTTTCTTTCCGCTTATTGATTAGTTAGACGAGGCGTTACACCATGGCCAGATCCTATCAAAATGTTATTAAAAAATGTTCAACTCGAGCGGAGGAGGGAGGAGCTGCAGATTGTCTTGGCCATCATCGCATCATCATCGGATTCTAACTGTGCCAACTGTGCGGATTTTATGCAAATTAATGACATGCACTAATGGAGCCTGACTTGGGGAAAAGAACGAAATTGCGCATAGTGGAATCGATTGGCCAGGCTGATTTCTTCCAGGTGTTGAACTCTTAGCCGGAAGTTGTCTTCTTCGATTTTGAGTTAGTTCGAATTCCCTCCGGAGCAACACATCCCAGTAATCGAAGACGAAAGCTGATTGCCGCAATTAATACAAAGAAAAATATTTGTGAATCACTCAGTGAAGTCTAACTCTCGCTCGGCATTTTCCCTCCTCCTCCCTCCCCCTCCGATTCTTCTTAAAAGCCCAAAAGCAAATAGAGCTAAACAATCCGCACAGACAAATAAACAAAGCAACCGACGACGACAAGCCTTTTGCTTTGCCATATAAAGAGCCCGGCCGACAGACAAAAAGAAAAATCGCTGAATTTGTAATATAATCAAAATGTGAAAATGTTTTAAAGGTAAAGTCAACAATGGAATGAAGCCCAGTCGACTGGTGCAGCTGTCCGATTCCGATTCGGATTCGGGTTTGGATTTGCCTACCTATGCACAAGAGATGGTTTATGATTACCACACCGAGCACGAGTATCTGTCAGATACCGGGCACAGTCACACTCACAGATACGAACACAAACACGGATACCAGCGCAAATAAAATCAAGCGTGAAAAGAAACCCAAACAATAAAACAATCAACCCGATGATATGCCTCAAATATACAGACACTTGGGCGCTAGGGTGGACCTGTGTCAGCACATATTTCAAGCCTTTAAATAAAATTTATTCTGTATCTTTAAATCATGAATCCGCATTCGCAATTCCCCTCACAAATAAATAAATATTTTATAAGAAAATTCTTATCTTTTAATTACATATTGTGGGCTGCAATGAAACTAAGGATCCCCCTAAACTGCATCAGTGCCATTTCGAAAGCGAAAACTGCATAATCAGGCAAAAAGTAGTGTTCTCATCAGCATTGTATATGCCAGATCGTAAAACGTATACGTAATAAAAGCACTTGCAATATCTTGTTTTAAAAACTCCGCAGTTCCCCTCGAAAACTATGCAAGGCGTGAAAACTGTTGACAAAAACCCCAGAGGGAAAATGCAAGAAAAATTCACAACAGCCGCTGACAGAAAAAATATGATTTCAGTCTGCAGCTCGCTGATAACAAAAGAGGCAAAAATAAATATACAACGAATACGCAAGACGGAAATTGACGTTGCATAAGTGGCAAAAAATGCAGTCAAGTGCTGCCGCCCCTATACTCGTGAAATGGTCCAAAAAGATCAACTTTTGGACATGTTTTTCAAGCTGCCAACTTGGCACGCAAATCGCTCGAATCGACGAGCAGAAAGGAATATATATTTATACACCAAACACGAGAGAAAAGTGAGATTGAGTTAGCTGGAAAGAGCTGAGTTCTGTTTGCGATAAGGCCCAATTTCCACTGGCGTTAATAAACTTGTGTTCTATACGATGCACTAAGCAAAGTGAACGAGGAAATGGAAATATTCCAAAAGATTAGCGGAGGAATCGAAGAAAAAGGAAGTGGTGAAATGATCATAGCGATAAAGAGGGATCTCACACATGAAAACCTGACTCAAAGTGAAGGGCTAATGTGTGAATGCTATGAGGTTAAGAGAAGAATTAAAGATGTATCTAGGAGGTTTACAGCAGGTTGAGAAATAATTTATGGCACCGCATTCACTTCCCTAGATTCATTCCTGAGTTTCCCGTCCAACTTCTCCCATTTCCATGCAAATCGCACCGACATCGCCATCGACATAGACGTCGACTTCGAGATGGAGCCTCCCACCTGCCGGAGGTATTGGGTAACCGAAAGCCGAAAGGAAACCAAACCGCATTGTACTGCCACTTTTTCCCTGCTGCTGTGCTGCTGTGCTGCTGGCACCTTCCATTGAGCCATTGAGCTTTGTGGGCACATTAATTGTGGCAACAGCCCAACTGAATCTTGGAGCTCGGAGCTCCCACACGCCGCAGCAGCAATTCAATTACAACACTTGCGATACGGATAGAAACCGCAGCACCTCAGAGCACCACGCCCGTGCGATGCGTCGGGCAAGGCATCATAAGTAAGCCACCAACCCAAAAGCCAATACCGAAAGCCCACCGAGTGGCAACAGCCTCCAGTTTGCCCCACTGGCCCACAGAGTTGGGAACCTCCGGCTCGGAGACCCACTGCACACTGCAGCACAGCTGCGTTGGCCAACTTACGCAACTCTCGAGCATAGTTTTTATTTGTTTTTCAGTTTTTGCGCTGATCAGTGTGCAAATTTGTAGACTCCATTTGAAAGGTGATTAGGCAGGCCGTCATTGGGTTAAGGGGCCAGCGGAGGAGGAAAAGGGGGAAGGTTAGCGCTCATCAATTACCAATTGTTGTAGTTTCGTTAATTAACTCGGGCAATCAAAGTTTTCGTTGTGTTGCCCGGCGAGCAGTTTAAAAACTTTTAGGAACACCCCTCCTATGATTGGAATAGTCAAACAGCCAGTGAATGTCGGATATAATTACCTTCAGAAATATTTGTAGTATTGATCAAAATATATTAACATTCATTCTACTTCAAAATGTAATACTCAAGTTAGGGTACCCAAATATCTTGGATACCCTCCTGTAGTTATCTAAATCCATTTGCTTTCCTCGTTTGGCGTGCGAGTGCTTGCAGCTGGCTCATAAAAAGAGCAATTGAAGGAGCAATAGTGCTCGAAATGCTGTTTAAATTTATCTCCAGAAATGTGGCTCACAT